TATCTATATCTATATCTATATCTATATCTATATCTATATCTATATCTATATCTATATCTATATCTATATCTATATCTATATTCTATATCTATATCTATATCTATATCTATATCTATATCTATATCTATATTATATCTATATCTATATCTATATCTATATCCTACTATCTATATCTATTCTATATCAGTATCTATATCTATATCTGTATCTATATCTGATATCTATATCTATATCTATATCTATATCTATATCTATATCTATATCTATATCTATATCTATATCTATATCTATATCTATATCTATATCTATATCTATATCTATATCTATATCTATATCTATATCTATATCTATATCTATATCTATATCTATATCTATATCTATATATCTATATCTATATCTATATCTATATCTATATCTATATCTATATCTATATCTATATCTATATCTATATCTATATCTATATCTATATCTATATCTACTATATCTATATCTATATCTATATCTATATCTATATCTATATTATCTATATCTATATCTATATCTATATCTATATCTATATCTATATCTATATCTATATCTATATCTATATCTATATCTATATCTATATCTATATCTATATCTATATCTATATCTATATCTATATCTATATCTATATCTATAATCTATCTATATATATATAATATATATATATATATATATATATAATATATATAGGCCCTATATATATATATATATATATATAATATATATATATTTATATAGTGAGATTAACGCAGGTTATAAACAGTGAGGTTAATGCAATAAGCAAGTTAGTAATAAAACAAATAGTTTTAAGACAAGAAAAAGACAGTTTACAGATACTATGAATGTTTCGGCAAAAGTCTTTTTCAGCGCACACAACTTGGATACCGCATATGGTTGGGGGTTGGGGGCGTGGTGTAGTGAAAGATACCTGTTCGTTTAAACTATCTTGTGCCCGTGTGCCAAATTTAAGTAGTGTTTTCCTGTTCGGGTGGTTTTTAAAATTATGGCAAAACCGAACAGCGGTTACACTGTCTTTAACTTCTGAGGTAGCTAGCACTACCTGTTTTATTACTAAATAAAGCGCGAGTGATCTCCCCTTAAACTTTCTCGAAAATTTTTATATAATACTATGGGGAATATCAACTAGGGGTTATAGACATGATTTTTAATCCATTTTTAATAACTCAGTTTTAAAAAATAGAATAGAATCTCGTAGAAAAAAGAATTGCGCACCAAGTGAACGGCAAACAATATATGTAAAATTGTGCGGAATATTAGTACTTTATAAAATCATGTGCTTTTTTTGAGAAATGGGAAATAGCGTAAAGTAATACTTCCAGTCAACGGAAATTACTCAAAATTTGACAGAAGGCAGAGAATAATATAAGAATTTTCTAGAAATAGTAGGGGAACTCACACCCGCTTTATTTATTTTTTATGAAAAATGTGTTTTAAGCATTTGTATACAGTGAAGTTGACAAAATAATTTACAGTAAATTGTGAAATAATATATTAAAATTAATCAAAGCAGATGAAATATGTATTTAATCATTTAAGCTCGATTAATATCCTGTAAAATGTCATTTAAAATTTATACTAGCCTTCTGTAATGGCGATGCTTTCCTTCTGTGGTGACGGTCAATGCATAAAAAAGCATTTAAGATGTGACAAAGTAGATCACTGCCCGTAACAAAGAAGATGAAAAATATTGTGGTGAGTCTCTTCGCGAGCTGTGTAGCTCTTTGTTAAAGAAATTATATTGTCTGGTAGATTTAGGCTGAGGTGAATGCTTTCGTTTTCGACTTTTACTTTTGTTAGGATTAAGATAATATAAAAGTATAGAATTTGAGTGAGTGTAAGGATTCTAACTTGACCATGGGGGGGGCGAGGGGGGGGGGGAATTCCCGAGGGAGTGGGTTCACATGGTGGAATTGAAAAGTGGTACTTGCTACGAGGGAGGAGGAAATATTCGAGGTGGGGAAATAGTCGTGGGGTTGGTGTGGTCCTGTAGCCAAAAAAAATACACCTGTAATATTCTTTTTGATCACATTATAATACGTATAGACATATACATACATATATATATATATATATATATATATATATATATATATATATATATATATATATATATATATATATATGTCCATGTCCATGTCCAGGTCCACGTCCATGTCCATGTCCACGTCTATGTCTATGTCTATGTCTATGTAAATTAGTATGTCTAAGTATATGATGTATGTGTATATGTATATGTACGTGAATGTGTACGTGTATGTGTACGTGTACGTGTACGTGTACGTGTACGTGTGCGTGTACGTGTACGTGTACGTGTACGTGTACGTGTACGTGTACGTGTACGTGTACGTGTACGTGTACGTGTACGTGTACGTGTACGTGTACGTGTACGTGTACGTGTACGTGTACGTGTACGTGTACGTGTACGTGTACGTGTACGTTTGCGTGTACGTGTGCGTGTACGTGTGCGTGTACGTGTGCATGTACGTGTGCGTGTGCATGTGCGTGCACGTGTGCGTGTACGTGTACGTTTACGTTTACGTTTACGTGTCTCTCGTATATACGAAAACATATACATATACGGAAATTCGAACATCGAATACTCATTTCGGGTTAGTTTGAGTTTTGAAAAATGAAAGTTTTTTTTTTTAAATTAAAACTAGTTACATCAATACGTCATGTGTGTGAGTGCTATTAGTCTGTTTTGAAAATCTCTCTCTCTCAATATATGCCTACATGATGCTTCTTAAAAGCAAAGTCGTCCTTCCCGCGCGATGGACTTTTTTTGGCCAAAGACAGCGGGTGTTTGATGGGTAGGAGAAAGAGGACTCGGGATGGTGTCTACAGAACATAGATAATCCAACCGCAGCTACAGTATATTTTTTACAAAACAACCATCAAGTAAAAAAATGCGAGAATTTTTTTTTTCTACAAAAAAATTGATTATGTTTTGGCTGTGGGCCCCTAAACGGCCCCGCCCCACCCCTCCACCCCCCACCCCGTTATAGTTCCGCCACTCTATGTAAGCTATAGTAAATATCTTTTAAAATTAACTTTTTTAATTTTTTGTACTAGCCCCTTGTAAATCTCGTCATTTCCACTGTGGTGACAAGCAATGCGTCAAAATAGAATTAAAATGTAACGGCAAAAACGACTGCCGTAACGGCAATGATGAAAAAAATTGTGGTAAGTCTCTGCGTGAGTTGGATAGCTCCTTGTTAAAGAGATAATATTGTATTGAATTTTCACCAAAAAAATGTTATGATCTTTATTTTATTTTACTTTCTTTACTAAACTAAAACTGGTGTATTTGCAATATATATTTGCAATATCTGAGATATTTTGTCTGTGAGATCATTTGTCCTTGATATCATTTGTCCTGATATATTTTGTCCTGGTATCTTTTGTCCGTGAGATCATTTGTCCTTGAGATCATTTGTCCTGAGATCATTTGTCTTGAGATCATTTGTCCGTGAGATATTTTGTCTGAGATATTTTGTCTGAGATCATTTGTCCTGAGATCATTTGTCCTGTCACCATATATATATATATATATATATATATATATATATATATATATATATATATATATATATATATATATATATACAGACAAGTTAAAGTTAAATAAAGCTCCAGAACCAGACGTTTGACAAATACATTTTACAAAACTTTGATAAAAGATATTTAATTAAACTTACAGGCAACAAAAATATGCATCATCTGTGCGACAGGTTTTAACAAGGCATATATCACTCTAATCCCAAAACCCGACTTTGATAAACTAAAGTAACTAGCTACAGACCCATCTCTTTCTCAAACAGTTATTGTAAAATACTGACAAAAACATTAGTAAGGAAGATGAAACCTACGTAACACAACACAACACAACGTAACATAACGTAACGTAACACAACAAAACACAACACAACATAACATAACATAACGTAACAAAACACAACGTAACACAACATAACATAACATTAAAATTAATGTATGGGTGCTCATCCCGTGAATGCTACACATCACCCGCCCATGCCCTTTTTAACGAACAAAGACTGTTTATATTTAAGATGGAAAAAGATTATGTGAGCCGAACAACAAATGTCTGAATGTTTTTATTTACATTACAATACATGTATTTACATTAAGCTCAAAATAATTGAATTAAAAACAAAAGTATGTGAAACATTATATTGAATTAACTCAAGGCAAAAATGAATGTTATGTTTTAAAGTAAAGATTACTTCGTTAAATAGTTGTTTAAATGTAGCCCCCCCCCCCCCCCCCCCCCCACCTAATAAACTTTATTAAGAATAATTGACTCGACTATCCATTTTTATTTAACTTAATATCGTTACCATCGCAATTGTATCATTTGTCTTTGATAAATTGTCTTGTTTCTTTATATTCATTTACCAGAAATTTGTAATTTATTTTTCACATTCAGATGTGTTAAAGTTTACCTACAGCTAGCTCTATTTAAAAATAATTGAAAGAAAACTGTTGAATATATTAAAATTAATCAAGGCAGAGAGAAAATCTTTTTAGTTTACTACAAATGAACTAATCATTATATGTAAGCCACGTTGTTATCTTTTAAAATGAACTTGGTTTTTTATATTAGGTCGTTGTTCAAACAGAGGTTTCGAATGCACTAACGGTCCATGCCTCAGAGCTAATCAGAGATGTGACGGCGTCCCAGACTGCGAAACCGCAGAAGATGAAATGTATTGTCGTAAGTCTATGCGCAAGCTGTATAGCTCCTTCTTACAGAGATTGTCTTGTCTTTCCGCCAAAAAATAAAAAGTACGATCTGTTGTTACTTTCCATCCTATTTCTAATCTAAAACTGGTGTTTTAACCAGAACTGCAATCCCATGATTTTCAAACAATCCATTCGTTCGTTCTTTGTAGTTCATCGTACATATATATATATATATATATATATATATATATATATATATATATATATATATATATATATATATATATATATATATATATATATATATATAAAGCAATGTATGTGTGTGTGTGTGTGTGTGTCCTTTATGCATTACTACACCTCTCATCACATCGCCGTGAAACTTTGGGAAGTTGTTGAAAATATTCCAGGGGAGGTTTCTGCGAAAAAAGATATTTCAAATTCGCAGGGGTGGCGCCCCGACAGGGCGCGATTTGTTTTTTCTATATACGGTATATAAAAATAAAAGTCTATTTTGGTTTGGCATCGTTCATCCGATAGCCATGAAACTTCTAGGGAAGGGTTGTGTAAAAAAAATAATTTTTAATTTCGCAAGGGCGGCGCCACGGGAGGGTCCGATTTTTCTCTATATGCGTTATATAAAAATAATAAAAGTGAATTGCAGTGACACCGTTCATCCGATAGGCATGAAACTTTGGGGAGTTCATTATACCACTCTAGGAAAGGGTTCTGTGAAAAATAATTTTTAATCTCGCAAGGGCGGCGCCACGGGAGGGTCCGATTTTTCTCTATATACGGTATATAAAAATAACGTTCATCCCATAGCCGTGAGACTTTGAGGGAGTTGATTAGAACAATTCAGGAAAGGGTTCTGTAAAAAAAATTCTTTTTTAATAACGCAAGGGCGGCGCCACGGGAGGCTGCAATTTTTCTCCATATACGGTTTATAAAAATAAAAGTCTATTTCGGTTTCACATCGTTCATCCGTGTACCATGAAACTTTGGGGGAGATGATTAGATCACTCAATGGTAGGGTTCTGCAAAAAAAAATTGTTTAATATTGCAAGGGCGGCGCCCCCCGGTGGGGGAAGCGATTTTTTTTCTCTATACACGGTATATAAAAAATAAAACTCGGATGCGGTTCATTCGAGTGCCATGAAACTTTAGGAAGTAGATGAGTATACTCCCGAGAATATTTCTGCGAAAAAGAAAACTAAAGTTTCTTATGGGCGGCGCCATATAGGGTACAACTATCGTCAATACACGGTTTGGCGCCCAGAGTTTTAGAGCGACTGTGTTGGCACTTGGCACCCGTTAATCGAGCGTCCTGCATAGCGAGTGAGGGGTACTACTATATTCAGCGGTAAAACTACAACAGTCTTCTAAAAATAACTTTGTAACGCGAGGAAATCCTTCTGTACAGTTTTGTCACCTTGCCAAAAATAAAAAAAAAACTTTTTGAATATGAGGAGCCTACTGAAGAGTTTCGTCACTTTGCGAATGATGCAATAATCATCTACTATTAGACAATCCAGTCAGAAATTGAGATCGAGCATCTAATAATAGACCATTAGTAACGCTAGCATATTGCATCAGTCACACTGATGTTTAAAACATGTCAAATACTTTTTTACGTGTTAAAGAAAAAAGCCTGCTCATTTGTGGCACTTTAGCGAATGATGAAATCTGCATCATTATTAACAGGATGCTATTTGGCACGATGGCGCCTATTACTTTTAAGGAGCCAGGGGTCGTACGCCGCGCCTATGCGGTAGTGTAATTGGGGGGGGGGGGGGGGTGGGGCCCTGAGAGCGCCACTATACGTCTCTGACACATGGGCAGTCACCGAAGTGTGTTCTAACATATTATTTCGGATAGTGATTAATGTACACTCAGTGTTTACATGCGGTAGTGTAGGTAAACCCGTGTCCCGATATTTATGATAGAAGCGCAGGCGTTGTTTACATTAAAATAACTCACTTTTAGAAAAAAACGGTCACGCGTCTAAGAACATATGGTTGGTAACGCGTTGGTGAAATCTTTCTAATACATTTCGTCATACTTTCTTCTATCCCTGCGGCAACGCGCGGGGGACGGGGACGCTAGTATATATATATATATATATATATATATATATATATATATATATATATATATATAATAACTTTAAAGCCAGTATGCCTGCAAATATTATAGAAATTGGGTGAATGATTATCAAGATATAATCATTTGAACAACCCGCCTATTATTTCTAGCGCTAAAAATCTCGGCGCAAAACGAATATTGCGATTTCTGTCAGTATACTTTTGATCAGCAACGCACCCGCTCGGCGCAATGGCACAATTTTACACAACAGCAATCGAAGTATTTAAAGGTAAGGATATTAGATTAATTATGTTAATATATTCTATTTTATTCTATCATTTTAAAGAATAATAAACAAAGAGTATTTGTTTAATATAGCATGTTTTCAGTTAGATTTTGTAGAAACCAAACTGTCTTGTCTACATTTTATTAAGCAATGCTTTGAAACTCGGTCTAAGTCTAAGTTCTAGAATCTATATACATATTATTCGTATCAAATCTCCACTAACTTGTGCAATAAATATAATTATTTTTATTTATTACTAGCTTTAGACTGAGGGTTTATCTTCGTGTTTTAAGAAATGTTTTATATGGAAGTTACAACATGTTTGGCCTACAATAAAGTACCTGGAACTTAAATTTAAATCTAAAACGGTAATTAACATACAATAATTAAAAGTATTTTATGTTTACATTTCAGATCAAACTTGAAATTATTTAATCACATGATCTGAAATTGTATTTACAGATGCTACCATACAGCAGAGCGAGAAGGGCCTGGTACGTCGGACTCCCAAGTCCCCTACATTATAGCGTGGGGAGGTGAGGTGCAAGACTGCCGCGAACCAAAAAGGGTTTGCTCTCGACCCTAACCAGATATTTTGACTGTAGGCTGCGGCCTTCACGTGGCTTCGGAAGAGTGCCCCTAGCCGGACCAAGCTTATGACCCCCCTAATGGGTGCGGAATGGCTAGTGGTAGCAGACAGCAGCTAGAGGTTTTTGATCTGGCCGAACGTCCCCCCCCCCCACGATCAAGCTGAGTACCAGGCGGTAGGACGACGTCCTGCGTCTTGTGGGCGGGGAAGGAAAGCCCAGTGAGAGCCGACGGAAGAAGCGACCGATGCGTGGGAAACTCTTGTGGTAGTAGTTTGCAACACTGAGGACTGCCTGGCTAATGAAACAGGCAAGCCTCTATTAACTGACCAGTCTTATCTGACTAGTTTTACTAAAGAACAGACCAGCCTCTCCAGGAATTCAATGCGACAGACACCGCAATGCAACTCAGAAGCTACTATCTACTTCAAAGTCAATTAACAGATGTTTGGTAATATAGAAACTATGATCACATCTGTGGCCCCTGACCATTTGTACAAGAAAAGCAGAAAGTTTTAAGTTGTCACCTGCGAGAACAATGTAGTATCACATTTTTTTTATAATTAACCCAATTTCAAAACATTTAACCCACTTTAATATTTTCATGTGAATTTTAAAAAATTTAAAAAATAAAAACTAAACACATACTTTTTATTTGGTTGCGTTTTTCTTTGATGCCCATTTTAAAAACTAGGTAAACCATAAAGTTTCCCCTTTCAAACCTGACGGTCTATGTTATGGGGCAAGTGAAGTAGAGTTCACTTGTTTCTGTGACCTCGGCATATGAAGAGATAGTGTGGTCAGCACTATAACCAGCCGCCTTTACTTTCCCTAACAGGAGTTAGGTACCCATCAGAGTTGGGTGGACTCAGGGACGGTCTACTGACTAGGTAAACCAAAAGTAATTATTAATTAAAACCATACTTAAATATCGCTACTAAAATCCATCTCATTATGTGTAGAATAAAATACAAAAAATAAAATTTGAACACAAAATTAGATTCTCGACTAGCTGCATTCCCGTGCTTCACCATGGTAAATCTTTTTCAAATATAACAACTTGGGAATAGAATAAAACTAAACACAACACAAACACACCACAACACAAAAGCAAACACAAAAGCAAACATAAACACAGAAACAAAATAAAAAATACAAAGAATACACAAACACAACATAAACACAAAGACAACACAAACCCAAAAAAAGGACAAAAGAAAACAAAAGCACAATGCAAACACAAACGAAAACGAAAACACAAACGCAACACATAAACACAAACACAAAAGAAAAACCAAACGCAAATAAAAACACAAAATGAAAACAAAATCACAACAATTGAAATACAAACGCAAACCCAAAAAAAAAGAAAAACAACCACCACTCATAATATAAACACAACTTAAATGCACACATAAACGCATATTGCTCACAGTCTAATCCGTGACGCCAAACAGCACCCTGTCCGAGCGCCTGCGGACGCGCCTGATTCAGTGAATCACTATAATAACCCCAGCTTGTATAAAATAAATAAAAGGCAGTATTTAAAATATCCGTGTTTTACCTACCATATTGCACTTCATCGATTCATGCTTTTTTCAGTACTTTAAATTTAAAAGAATTTACAAAAGTTTCATGAATAAAAACATTGCGCACCTAAGGAACCAGATGACGCGTGTATAACAGTACGTTCAGTTATTAAAATAAATAAAAGAGAGCTTTTTATCAATCCATGTTAATTATAATATTTTAACAATAATGTCATCTTAAACGTCTGCAGAATCTGCATTAAAATTTTGCTAATTATATTATTCCAACAATTATTCCCTCTTGGAGATTTTGCACTAACATTTTTTTTCTTATTAGCGTGAGTTAAATTCAGTGTTTCTTCCAGACTTAGTGTTTCTTCCAGACTTTTTTCTCCGGGGGGGGGGGGCACTTGAAATTTTCTGGGGGGCGGTAAACTTTCTTCGGGGGGGGGGGGGGGGCGGACACTGTTAAAAGTATATATTTTCTATATAAATTATATAATTTTCATTTAGTTCGGGGGGGGGGGGGGGCGGTAAAAAATTTTTCGGGGGGCGAAGTCCCATCGAAGAGATGCCTGGAAGAAACTCTGGTTGAATTTATTTTTAAATACCTCCCATGACAAAATTACAAAACAGTTTAATTAATTAGTTGTTTCGAACCTACTGTTATTAAAATGTATCCACTTTTTCTAAGATTCTAATATTCTAAACGAAAATGATATTTGACATTGATCCGTTTAATATGTTTTTGCAATTGCGTGTATTTAATATTTTCTTAACGTTATTCGAAACAGTAAAAACTGTAGCAACTATAAAAAAAATTTAAGTCGTTATATAAACAAACCCTACTATATTACTAAAATAAGACACTGCGATGCAAGTAAAAAACACGACATGTGATGTGTTTATTTTTATGGTTCCAACATCTATAGCGATGACGAAAGGACTGACACACTACCTAGCCTCCTATATTATAGATATTATTAGGTGTTAATGACAACTTAAAATCATAAACACAAAGAAATCATGCTCCTTAGAAAAACGAACTAACTTGGCTGAGACAAAAATTCTCGGTTCAAAACAGCTAAGTCTGTGCGCACAGATAGACGGTACGGCAGCGAGAGTTTTAGATCGAGCCAATAGCGTAAATAGGATTTTTGGGCCCCTATGCAAAAATTATTAGTGAGCCTAATTCGTCAACGTTTGGATACAATGGAGTTAAACGAAGGAATCAAGTGTAACTTAAGATTGAGGGTTTTCAATAATATAAATATTCTGTACATTATGTATTTTATACGTCCTGATTGTGTATTTATACTATATTATAATGAAGGCCTACAACCCCGTAGATTGTAAAAATGTTACAGGCTTACGGTTAATTTTTTTTAAGTAACCATACACAGTAGCGTGGGAGCGCTAGACTGATAATCCGATAGTTTCGAGTTCGAATCCGGGTTCAAGTTAGTGGAACGTCCTTGAGTCCACCCAACTCAGTGATAGGTACCTAACTCACGTTAGGGAAAGTAAAGGTAGCTGGGCATAGTGCTGACCACATTATCCCTTTATATTACGAGGTCAAGAAACATATGAACTCCACTTCATCTGCCCAATGGATCGTTAGTCGACACCATCACAAAACATTGTAAAATTTACTGTCAAAACTGTGTTATATCCAGCTAAATTAATAAAAGATAAGTGAGAGAGGGCTAACGCTCCACCGAAAGTGCACAGTTGTTGGGGGCGATGGTGTTACACTTTTAGTAAACCCGTATTGTAACCGACCTTATGACGCAACTAACCAAACACATTTTTTTTTAAATTGCTCATGATTGAGTTAGATCTGTCTTTTTCCCATGCTTTTAACTTTGCAAAATTATTAATAAGTTGCTTGAGATTCATTTTAGCTGCTCCTCAAAATGATAAGTAATTCTATTATATGATATGTCTATTCAAAGACGAAATTTAAAAAAAAAAATTGGCTTAATTCGTTTTACAGGAAGATGCAACCGTGGCGCTTTCCACTGTGGGAGAATACCTCTTTGTGTTCCTAAGAAAAAAAAATGTGACAACTACAATGACTGTGGAAACCGTCTCGATGAAGTCGATTGTCGTAAGTGCGACTGCTATGTTTTTGTAATTCACCAGGAGTGTGGGGGGGGGGGGGGGTGGGTGGGGAAAGGATGCAATAAGTAACATGCGGCTTTTGGTACAATTATTTGACTGATGCCTATCATATGAATGTACGTACCGTATTTTCAAGGAAGGGTAGGCGTGTGGATGTTAAAATATAGAATTAGGAAACGTGTATGTGTTTCTGCTATGAGTGTACTTGTACTTGTACTTGTACTTGTACTTGTACTTGTACTTGTACTTGTACTTGTACTTGTACTTGTACTTGTACTTGTACTTGTACTTGTACTTGTACTTGTACTTGTACTTGTACTTGTACTTGTACTTGTACTTGTACTTGTACTTGTACTTGTACTTGTACTTGTACTTGTACTTGTACTTGTACTTGTACTTGTACTTGTACTTGTACTTGTACTTGTACTTGTACTTGTACTTGTACTTGTACTTGTACTTGTACTTGTACTTGTACTTGTACTTGTACTTGTACTTGTACTTGTACTTGTACTTGTACTTGTACTTGTACTTGTACTTGTACTTGTACTTGTACTTGTACTTGTACTTGTACTTGTACTTGCATTTATACTTACACTGGGACTGGTACTTGGATTGGTACTTGCGCTTGCGCTTGCGCTTGCGCTTGCGCTTGTACTTGTACTACTTGTACTACTTGTACTACTTGTACTACTTGTACTACTTGTACTACTTGTACTACTTGTACTACTTGTACTACTTGTACTACTTGTACTACTTGTACTACTTGTACTACTTGTACTACTTGTACTACTTGTACTACTTGTACTACTTGTACCACTTTTACTACTTTTACTACTTTTACTACTTGTACTACTTGTACTTGTATTACTTGTACTTGCACTACTTGTACTTGTACTACTTGTACTTGTACAACTTGTACTTGTACTACTTTTACTTGTACTACTTGTTTTTGTACTTGTATCTCTTCTTGTACTGGTTCTTCCAATATGATGCCCAATTAATACGGTTTCACTTTTGCCTACACAGCGTCGAAAAAATGCAAGGGGATTGGATTTTGCTACCTACCCGCCTGGATCGTACAGGGATCACTCGAGTCGGATTAGCCACACTACGTTGTCTCGCGTGACTACAGAGGCACATCTTCACAATATATGTGTATTAATGTTTATCACATATTCACATTCTATGTGTATTAATGTATATCGTATCTTCACATTCTATGTGTATTAATGTAAATCACATCTTCACATTCTATGTGTTAATGTATATCAGATCTTCACATTCTATGTGGATTAATGTATATCACATCTTCACATTCTATGTATTAATGTATATCACATCTTCACATTCTATGTGTATGTCAAAAGGGAAAAAAAGTAATCTACCAGTAGACTGAGATCAGTCTCTACGATGCGCGAACAGTTTTTATTTAAAATTATCCTTTTACTGAAGCCAATTAACAAACGTTATACTTTAATCCTATTTCCATTTGTTCATAGCATGTAATTCGTTTTCTTTATGGGGATTTTTGGTTTATTTAAGTTAGTTTGTCTATTATTTTTTTTTTGCTCGCTTGTGGTACAATTTCTCCCCTGTGCATGTAACAAATACCTTTTAATAATTGTTTTGTTTTAATTATTGAGTCCTACTTTTTAATAATTACACATTAAAACCATGCTTTCTGTTTTCAATTGACAATAAAGTTGGCGTCAACATAAAAAAATCATTTTGTCTTGAATTTTTTAATTTTTTATTAATTATTCTCCTTAAAGGGGTACTAATTGTAACAGACTGTACTTTTAGTTTTGTTTATCTATTTCATATTTAGCATGAACGTGTATGAAAGTAGAATACATGGCCAACGGAAGGACTGTGCGAGCGACTAATCAGGTTTTTTCCATGCTTTTTGTTATATCGCTCACTGTCGTTAGGGGAGAGAATCCTAATATATAAAAGCCCATGTGCGCACTTCTCTCTCTCTGTCTGGAAAATATTTTTACAAGCTGTCATACTAGTATCTTCAGCGATATACGGAGAACTTGATACGGACTTTTGTTGAAAATAATATGGTAGATGTTTTAAAAGTATAAACAAAATTTTATTTAAAGAAGAAAAATAAAAATAAAGGCATATTCGAATGCAGAAAAACATTTTTTTAATTATGCAACTGGAAAAGTGTTTATAGTTGAGACACGGGCACCGAAATCGATGAAGTCACATGTCATATGTTTAAAGTACGGAAACGTATTCAACACTGACCCTGAAAAAATTCAATCAATATTTAGAGACTATTATACGCAACTGTATAAGTTCGAAGAGACAAACACAGACATACAAGACAAATACCTTAAGTTTATTAAACCATTACGTGACAGCGACAAAACTAATATTGACACCCCCTTTCAGCCAGTCGACATAACCAAAGCCATACTGAAATTAAATTCAAATAAATCGCCAGGGCCGGACGGCCTGACAAGCGAATTTTTTAAAGCCTTTTCAACCGACCTAATTTCTCTCCTTTTAGCTACCTTTAGAGAAATGTTTCTGCTAGAACAATGCCACGAAAATTTCAACAGATCATACATAACATTAATACGCAAACCCAAAACCGATCCTAAACAAACCCAAAACTATAGACCTATTTCTCTCCTAAACACTGATTACAAAATCCTATCCAAAGCTCTAGTCTCCAAAATTGAACCGCACTTGCATAAAATTATAAATGTAGACCAACAATGCAACATCACAGGTAGGAACATACAAAATCACAATCACTTAATTAGAGACATTATCCACTACACACACGAGAAAAACACACAAGCATGCATACTCAGTTTAGATCAAGAAAAAGCCTTCGACCGGGTAGCTCACAAATACCTTCACAAAATCTTAGAAGCAAACAATTTAGGACAATACTTTACGACATGGATAAAAATAATCTATTTTAATGCACATAGTCACTTACTGATAAACCATAATATTTCCCAACCCTTTAGAATAAATAAATCAGTCAGACAAGGCTGTCCCCTATCTCCAATCCTTTATATACTAACACTCGAACCCCTTTTAGAATGCATTAGAAACACTAGAGACATTAGAGGAATCGACATCCCAAATCAATTAAACAAAAAAATTCTAGCGTACGCTGATGATACAGCTTTTACGCTCCAAACCGAAAAATCTATCATACTAATAACAGACATGTTCCTTGACTTTGGGCTGGGTAGCGGGTCAAAAATTAACCTAATGAAAACCAAAATTATGGGACTTGGACGGTGGATCAACAAACCCAATTACCCACTAAACATGCTAGGTACCAACAAACTAAAACTTTACGGCATAACCCACTATAGTAACCCACACACCAACAACGATGATGAATGGAAACAAGTCTTAAGCAAAATCCAAAACACCATAGCACTTTATAAATTTAGCTCAACAACAATTTTTGCTAGGTCATCTATAATTAATAGGTATGTCATCCCAAAAATCACCTATATAGCCACGGCAAAAACAATCCCAAAGCCAACAATTAAACATCTGAATAAAATCATTAGAGAGTACATATTTCAGACCACAATTTCAAACATTAGCCACAACACTTTAGTACAAAACAAACTTCATGGAGGAATAAACTTGCACGATATACAGACCAAAATCAATACATTCAGACTAACACACATTAGCAGAATAATTAGCCAACCAAACTTTCACCCTCTAGCTCACTACTATATAGGCATTCAGCTAAACAAACTTACAAAAATCAATAATACAACTCCACATTACATAGGAGGAAAACTCAGTCCCTTTTACACAGAATGTTTACAAATATTAAAAAAAAACGAAAAACTTGTTAGCAAAAAGTCACAAAACATTTACAAAAAGTTAGTGCAAAAGCTCTCAACTCCACTATACAACAGAATTCAATGGTGTAGGAAATACGCTCTAACAGACACAATGGACACCTTCAGAAACCTACACCTCAAAACCATCACACCCAAAGCCAGGGAAATAACTTACAGACTCATCTACAATTCAACCCCCCTAGCAAAACAACAGAAACCATTTTGCCCACTATGCAGACAAAACACACCCGAAACCGAAACGCACATCTATTTAGAATGCCCCACCATACAAAACATGAAAAAGACGCTAGAAAACAAAATAATAAAAAACGAGACCTACAATATCGATATAGTCATAACTCTAAACAAAATCCCAATACAAAGAGATAGGACGGACCTAGAGCAAAAAGCAAGGACGGTAGCTATATATAGACAGACTATTTGGAACAGCAGAATAAAAGCAAAACACGACAAGGTACAGTTCACGGGACACGTACTAGACTTGATTTATCGTAGACGACTCGACAATGACAGCACTCAAACACATATACCATAATTAACAACACCAAAACGTAAAGAACATATTACACTGCTTTTGCCACCTGGAACGCCTAATCGAACTGACACATCCCCCTTTCATCACACCCTCTCCGCCCCCCCCGCCCCTAAACCTCATGATCCCAATATCAAATTTCCCCTCAAAACTGCATCCCCTCGTCCCCATCACCACCACCCCTGTGATGAAGTACTATGTTAAACAGTGACAATGATGTATTATCCAAATACATTTCTAACAACATCAATGTAACTCCCACCCCTCAACCCCCATGTCCCCACTCTGTGTCGCATCATTTATCATTTGGCATTACATTTTCCTATTGTTGCTTTTTGTGTATTGTTTAATTTATAAAGCTTACAAACATTGTAAAGCTATCATTTGTTACTATATTACTATTATCATATATGTAAGGTACTTTGGTCCACAACGTACAAATGACCCCAATGACCCGTACTCCTTTAGTATTCATTGTATTATCACCAAATTAACACTTACAGTTGTTTCGTTAACTTTACTAACTCTTTTATGTGAACACCAATTTTTTTATCTATAAAACTCCACTGCATCCCTACACGTGATAGCTACACGCCTACCCACCCCAAACCTGTCGGTACTTAACATTCATCTAAACATAAACACCGACTTGAACATACCAACCTTTCACCCTCCCACTAATTCGCTCACACAGCAATCTGTTCGTCAAACCCTCCCCCCCCCCCCACCCACACACACTACAAATGGTAACACATCAGCAGTCAGATAACACAGCACAAAATTTGACGCTTGGCTTGCCTTAAAACACGCAGTCACCCTCTCCACGCCTCGTCAGACACAGCTACCCACTCCCCCCTCTCCCCCTCTATCCACTTACCCTCAGACATGAAAACACCACTTTCCCTTTAACTGTTCCAACGACCCCACCACCCACCCCAACATCAATTTCGAATATCTACTCATTTACTTTTTAAAGTTCTAAATCTTGTTTCTTTCCCCTCATGTTTTACACAGCAACCTTTCGAAAACTCAATGCGACCAGTACATAAATAAACACTCCTTTAACTAGTCAACTTAATTTGTTTCCCTACATTGAAAATGCTCCACTGGCCCTTTGTCATTCTCGGAAAAATATCCTTTCCACTCCCCACCCAGACTTCTGACACGTTTATTTGACCTTCACCCCTTTTACTGCCATCTTTTGTAATTTTTGTTATAATCATATACATGACATCACGCAAATATTCATTATGTACATGTTCAAAACCTTTCGTTTTCATTTGAAACTATGTAAAAAATGTGATGTTGATGTACTTGTTTTAATTGCAAATAAAAGTATTAAAAAAAAAAAAAAAAAAAAAAAAAAAAAAAAAAAAAAAAAAAAAAAAAAAAAAAAAGGAAACGTATTCAACACTATAAAAGACTTAATACAATTTTACACGCGGCCATCACCAAAGTTTAACAAAATCCAACATTGGGGAGATTTAAAACAAGACATTAAGCGGGTATCTATTCAATATGCATGTAGCATTAATAGCGTAAGGGCCCACATAGAAATTTAACTCGAAAAACAACTAAGTACACTTAAAGGAACCAACAACAACAAAGAACAAATAGACTTAACATAGCCCCACCTTGTTTCGCATCATTTATTATTTGTCATTCAGTATTCTATTGTTGCTTATTTGTGTATTCTTTTATGAGAACACTGTTAACCAATTTTGTACCTTTTTTCTTCTTCTTCTTCGTTCTTAATTGAGAATATGGTGGAGGATTTTGACCTTTAAAACTCCACTGTATCCCCACACCCGTGATAGCTACACGCCTACCCATCCCTAACCTGCCGGTACTAAACATTTAAATAAACATAAACACCGACTTGAACATACAAACCTTTCACCCTCCCGCTAAATCGCTCTTATAGCAATCTGATCGTCAAACCCCCCCCCCTCCCACACACACTATAAATAGTAACACCTCAGCAGTTAGATCACACAGCACAGAATTTGACGCTTGGCTTGCCTTAAACAAACACAGACACCCTCTCCACGCCTCGTCAGACACATCTACCCCCTCCCCCCACCCCCTCTGTCCACTTCACCCTCAGACATGATAACCCCACATTTCCTTTAACTGTTCCAACGACCCCATCACCCACCCCAACATCCATTTCGAATATTTATTCATTTACTTATTTAAATTTCTAAATCTTGCTTCTTTCCCCTCATCTTTCACACAGCAACCTTTTGAAAACTCAATGCGACCAGTACATAAATAAACACTCTTTCAGCTGGTCAACATATTTTGTTTGCCTACAT